GGGTTTCACCATGTTGACCAGGATGGTCTCGATCTCTTGACCTCGTGATCCACCCGCCTCGGCCTCCCAAAGTGCTGGGATTACAGGCTTGAGCCACCGGGCCCGGCCCAGAAATGTTTTTAAATTTCCAAACTGATAGAAATTTCTGTTATGTATTTTTGTTACTGTCATTTGATTCAATTACATTGTGATAAGAAAATATGATCTATATGTCACTTCTTGTTTGAAATTTTTGACTTATATTATGGCCCAGCATATGACCACTATGGGGAGTAAATATTGCATGCATGCTGAAAAAAATGGTCATTTTCTAACTGTTAGCTGCATAGTTCTATGTAAGGCCAATAAACAAATCTGTGTGTTGAATCCTCCCTATCTTTAAATTTTAAAAAATCTTGCATAATGATGGAGTTTGGTAGTTTCTTGTGACTTGCACTAAAGGCATTCACGGAGACATGAGTCCCGTGAGCATCCTGGTTGGTCCTGAGGGTGAGTGTTAAGGACAGAATAGTCTCAGGCTTGGTGGCCTTGGAGGAGGCTGCATACACGAGTGTGGGGCAGGACCTGAGAGCTGCTGGAGTGGGGCTCATTCTCTTCTGATTGGCAATGCAGTGACCCTCCTCACCTAGATGACCTGGAAAACATTCCTGCCGGGTAGGCTGGAGGCTAGGCTGGCTGGGCATGAGATCAGAAAGTGAATTAAAGTGAATTGACTTCTTTTTTTTTTTTTTTTTGAGATAGAGTTTCACTCTTGTCACCCAGGCTGGAGTACAGTGTCGTGACCTTGGTTCATTGCAACCTCTGCCTCCTGGGTTGAAGCGATTCTCCCGCCTCAGCCTCCAGAGTAGATGGGGTGAATTGACTTCTTCATTCAACAAACCCAGCAGGGAGCCTGTGCTGTGACAGGGGCTAGGCCTGATGCTCTGGGCCTTGCCCTCACAGCTCCCCAGCCAGTGCAAGCCATCCCACACCAGTGACAGGAGCAGCCTCACAGTCAGAACTGGGCATTCATTACTGGAGCATGGGGAGGGGCACCCGTTCTTCTGGGTGCATTGTGCCACATCGAAAAGGCGCACAATCATCTCACTGAGGTGCCTCGGCTGGGTGCCAGGGCATGTCATGAGATTCTAGCTTACGGGGCGTTTTGGGCCTCTGCCTGTCTAAGCAGGGAGCAGACTGCATTTCCCACACTCGGAGGCTGCAAAAGTGGCAGCAGATGCCTCCTCTCCTGAGAGTATGTGGCACAGGTTGAGCCCCCAAGAATGTTTCCACAGGTGTTAGGGAGCAGAAGTTCACGCTGGTGTTTAGGTTGACTCATCCCATGCAAAAGTGTTTTAAAATCAGTTCCCGACATTTGAAACTTAGTGATTTCATATAAAAATGAAACTGCCCGGTGTGGATGGAAGCCCTGGGCCGGGCCTGAATATAGCTCGGCTGTCCCCAACCACCGTCTACAGATTGTGGGGTCTGCACTGGCATTTCCTTTCAGTACACTTAGAGAAATGTGAAATATTTTTCTTATACATGTTCCCATTAAAACTGGGGTAAAATTAGAAAAAAACTCCACATATTCCAGGATAAATAAGAGAGTATGTTTCTTGGTGCAGGTGGAGACTGTAATTTCATGAAATAAGTAAAGTGTGGATGGATGGAACTTTAAGGCACACAAATGAAGCCAATTACTTCTCTCATGACCAGCCTTCTCCGCTCATGTGCATTATTTATGAGAAACTCCGAAGGGGCTGCAGCAGCCATGCAGAAGGACCCGGGGGCATCCGTGGCACTAGGGCAATGGGACCGCTCTGGGTGGACCTTGGCAGTGTGTGGTGCCTGTGCATGAGGGGCTTAGACTGCCAGCCGAGGGCCTGGGTTCTGAGTCCAGCTCTCATATTCACTGCTGTGTGGACTTGGACAGCTTGTACGCTTAGAGAAAAGTGAAATATTTTTCTTACACATGTTCCCATTAACCTGGGCAAGATTTTGTTAAACCTGTGATATAGAAATATACATGCTTGTTTATCCACACAGCAAATAGCAAGATCTGACAGCAGACAAAACAGCTACCACCATCTCGACATGGTGATAAGTGGAATAGATGTTTAGAGATACCTGTAACAGCTGGAATGTGGATGGAAAGACTTGTGATTCCTACCAGGAGATCCTGCTAAGGTAACATCAGGCACAGTAGCAAGTGCTCATAGTGTTGGCTGCTACCATTAGGGATTTGACTGAGGGAGCCCAAGAATGAAAAGAGCTCAATTTCTGTCAGCTCAGTTGGGTGGGGGGCTCAAGACTTGTCATTAAGTTGATTTCTATTTTAAAAGTCACATTTCCTGCACACTTGGTGGCTGAACAGCTAAGCATTGAGACAACGTACGGGTATAAAGGAGTACAGGAGCATGTGGCCCTCCGTGTGCTGGCTGAGCCTGCGTGACTACCAAGCCTCCTCCAGGGTAGGGACCTGGATGTGGGGCCTGTAAACTTGGATAGGAAAGAAACTTCAACTCTGTTCTCTAACCTCTAAGGAAAACTTAGCATCTTTTTCTAATAGTAGTGTGGCAAACAAACCACAGCAACATGACTACCAGGTGACTTTATTCCTGGTAGAAATCACAGGTTTTTCCATCCACATTCCAGCTGTTACAGATATCTCTAAATATTGATTCCATTTACCACCATGTTGAGATGGTGGTAGCTGTTTCTTCTGCTGCCAGGTCTTGCTATTTGTTGTGTGGATAAAGAAGCATGTATATTTCTATACTGCAGGTTTAACAAAATATTTTTGATAACTATGCCTTGATACTACTGATTTCTGTTATGATTCTTATCTATTTTAGTTTGGGCATTTAAAAATGTTATTCTGAGAAGAAAGCGATAGGCATTCCTAGACTCAGACGGGTCCATGGCACAAAAACAGTGACCGAGCCGGACTATTGGCCGGAGGGGCATTTCTTGCTACTTCTTGAAGTCAGAGGCTACTGCAAGGCCTGGACTGCAGGGCAGACCGGCTTTGCCCACAACCCCTCTGATGCTTAGCAACATGGGTCATTGGGCAAGAAATCGCACCTCACTGTGCTTTGTTCCCACACTCTGTGGGGAGGGTTACAGGAGAGAACACTGTGTATAATATCCCAGCACGTGCAGTGGGCCTAATCACAGCCAGCTCCTGGCAGAGGCCAGGATGACAGTGGCTTCCTTCAGCCCTGTCTTCCGAGAGGCTGAGAGGAACTGAACAGCCTCCTGGCTGTGGCGGTGGCTTCCTTCCCCATCAGTCACGTGGGGCTTGTCCTGTCCCCGGAGTCTTGGGTCACATGGCTCATTCTGCCTGGCCGGCCAGGAGACAGGAGCAGAGCACCAGCATGGACTCCAGAGTCAGCATGCTGAGGATCCTCTTCCTCCTGGGTAAGTGGAGACTGTGGGGGTCTCTGGTCTGGGGGAGCCTCAGTGGGCAGGAAACTGGGGGAGCCTTAGCCCACTGGGGCTTAATCCCTAAAGCATAACTCTGTCCCTTTACACAGATGGCTTCTCTCACTTTGACCTAGTAGTGAGCAATGCTCTTGTTTATCTCACTCCCGCTGCAACTTAGAAATGCTTCTGTGCTAAATGAGAATAGGAACTGTCATAACAGAAGGAGCTTCAGGCTTGGTATCTAGAAAAATCTGAGTGTAAACGTTGGCTTCATTGCTAATAAAGTAGAATAAGCCTCTGAAACTCTCTGAGTATAACTTTCCGAACTAACGAGATGGGAGATAATCATGTTTACTTTTTGCGATTGTGAGAAAATTAAGTTAAATTTAATTAAGTCAAATCAAAATACTGACTTAGAGTGAGAACACGTAGGTATGTAGATGCTGCCATACAGTTAACGGTGAATCAGGATTCTCATGCAGTGAAGCAGACTCTGCTATTGAGAGGTATCTTGTTTTTAAAAACTATTGTTAATGCATTCACGGAAAGAAGGAAGAAAGGAGAGAGGCAAAGACTAATAAAAAAAGTAGGGCCAAATGAAGAGGGAGAAATACAAAGTCAGAGAAGCAGACAGAGAGGAAGAAACTCAGACACACCACACACACACACACACACGCAGAGACAGAGACATACAGAGATGGTTAGAAATATGCATACATGGAGACAGACAGAGATGAAGAGAGACGTGCGGCTTTACAAAGTTTCCTCTGACATCAACTGTTGTTTCCTAAACAGATAGCACATGTCCCTCATATATACAAAGACATTCTTTCCCAGAACTTGCACTGCGCCAAGACTCAATGGTAAGCAGTCTGTCTCCAGATAAAATCTTGTGTCTCCAGAATAAGTTGTATCCTGAATGTGGGGAAATTTGGTCTTGTGAGCAGGTTTCCATCTGAAGTCTGCACTAAGCAGGGGATAGCAAAGACTTTGGCCTTCATAAGTTAGCATGGCAGACAGAGAGCCACAACATCCATCAGTTTACACATGGAAATGGGCTGTTGGCAGTGACCATGAGGACATGGCAGGAACCAGCAAGCAGCAATTAAGAGTGTGCACGGTGGTTAGATGTAGTGTACCTGACCAGAGATGTGGTGGAAGGTAAGGAAGTTGTAACCTTTGTTTCTCCTTTTGACCTATCTAGATGAACAAACCAGTCTGACCTGGTAGAAAAAAAGGAAGTTAAATTTAAGAAATCCAATGAAAAATGTCCAACTTATATAAACAGGCAATTCCTTGAGGAATTATTGACACAAAACCCTTTAAAATGTCCAGTCTTGCAAATAAGAAAAGACCTAACAACACGTCACATTTTTTAGTGTGTCTAATGTGCTAGGTGCTCTGCTAAACTTTTTACAAGAGCTCATTTGGCCCCCAGACCAACTCTGTATAATAGATTCACAATTACCTGTGTTTTATGGATAAGGTTTTAATCACTGGACCAAGGCATTACACCTCATTTGTGTTTTCATATACTATTGGTAGAGGTACACAGTGGTTAGGAGGGGTATCCAGTGCTAGACTCCCTGAATGTTCATCCCGGTTCTGTTGTTTACCAGCCTGGACAACTTGGACAAATAATTCATTTTCTCCATGCTCAGTTTTCTCATCCATAAGTTGGGGACACCTCGTCGGACTATTGGGAGAATGAAATCTGTTACCACATTTAAAGCACTTAGCACAGGATCTGACGCGTGGTGAGCAGTCACTGTTGGATGTGAGGGGACTCATTAATTCAGTCTCTCCAGAGGGCAATTTGGCACAATCTGGGTGTCATTGTAAGCAATATGTAAGATGTTCATAACCCTTCACCCAGAAATTCCACCCTCAAGAATATAACCTAATGAAATAATAGGGTAAAAGCCCGGCCAAAATATTTCACAGGATATTATTCAACACTGCTGAAACCATAGTGAAAACCAGAAATAAGTGACTATCAGTAGGAATTTGACTAAATTAATTATGCTTTAATGTATCATTAAATGCATGAAAGACATGAACTGACATGGACAAAGCAGAAGTGATGACGTGATCGTTACAAGTCAGAGTTCCGTAGTAATCCGTAGCCACGTTTTGCATGTGTTTACTTATATATCCAAAGACTGACTGGAAAGAAATACAGCAAATGGTTCTTAGCATCCTTTACTTTTCTCAGGAAAAAGAATTATAGGGCATATTTGTTTCTCTGTATTGGCATTTTTCGTAATGATTATGTATGTTCTTAATTCCAATAAGTAAATGCTTGTGAACAAAATGCAAACATGACAGCCTGTTGAAAGCAAATGAAGAAGACGTTGGGCTTCCCCTTTATTGACTGGAGAATGGGAACTAGAGGACTAGTTAATGCTCTCTACCAGCAGACGGATGCCCGTGAGGGCGGGTGACCAGGCCAGTTACTCGGGGTGTAGGAAAACTGTACCTCAGAGGCCTTGGGGGGCATGGGGGCACTCTCTGTCCAGTCCCTCCATGACACAGGATCCCAAGTATGACTAGGGGACCCTGGGATGAGAAGCCAGGTCACTCTTTCCCACACAGAGTTGGTAGAAAGTTTTTAAAGAAATAGTTTTTAAATATTCTTTAAATATTTTCAAACACTGAGATTAATGGAACAGACATTTATGGAGCCAACACCCTGATTATCAAATGTTAACTTTCTCTCTAGATACGTACTTAAAGGTAGGTAGCTAAATCAATGTATCCATCAGAGAAATAGAACATAAGAAATGGAGTCTGGCTGTCTTCCTCCCCTTGTTTTCCTCCCTCCCCATAGGGAGCGGCACCCCAGGCTTGGCTGTGCTTCCTTCCTGGGTTGCTTTGCAGCTGTTAACAACTTTGGAGGACTCCGCCATAGCATAGTTAACATGTTGCATTATCTACGCATTCTGATAATGTGGGTCAAATGCATTCATCTCAACTACTCTACAAGCTTCTTCAGAAACACTGTCATTTATCTGTTTATTTATCCATTTCTGTACTTTCAGAATTTAGGTTGTCTCTAACTTGCAGCCTGACGGTGGATGCTTAGATGAGCCCTCTCGCCCTACCTCCTGAAACCCACCTGCTGCTGTTTTTCTAGAAGACATTCCTGGAAGGGGAATTGTTGCATAAATTCTCCTTTTATTAGATATTGCCAAATTGCTCTTCACCTGGGGTTGTGGGCATATCTATTTCCTTACATACTCAGTAATACTTGATACTGCCTGAGTTCTCAATGCTTGACTATGAGAAGGGTATAAAATTTTATCTTGAAGTTTTTATTTTAGTTTGTGTGTTCCTAATTACTACTGAGAATAACTACTTTCTCTATGTTATCAGACAGCCCGTTCTCCTTTTCTGTAGATTTCTCATTTTATATACCTTTCTCCCAAGCTATATTTGATTATTGGCCTTTTATGTAGTATTGTGGATATTAATTATTTGTACATTTCGTGTGTTGCAAATATCTTCTCTCAGCATGTTGCTTATCTTTTATCTTTGTGGCATCCTTTGCTGTAAGAAGTCTTTCAACACGATGTAATCAAATGTATTGGTCTTTCCCTTTTTGTGTGTTTCGTTTTTCTGTCTTAAGAAACATTTAAAAAATATTTTTACTTTTAAGTGGTTGCATTTTTTATAATTAGGTCTTCAATTTATTTTGAATTATTTTTATTTGTGGCCTAAAGAAAGTATCTAATTTTAATGTTTTCTGTATGGGACATCAGTTGTTGCAATATCATCTATGTAATAATCTTTCCTTTCTTTGCTTTGCAATGATTCTGTATTGGACACATATTCTATGTCTATTCTGTACCCATTTAATATGTCTGAACCATTAATGGGCTTCATCTTCTGTGCCACTTTTTGCATCTGTCTGTCTTTGAATCCACGCCACACTGTTTTATTTGCTAAGGCTGAATAATCTTGATAGCTTGCAGGTGAAATATCTACTGCTTGTCATTGTTGCTAGAATCATTGTGGCCCTTAATTCACTTCCTCTTACATGTAACTCTCCTTCCTGGAAAGTGCGATAAAATTTCGCTTCCTGAGAGCTGACCCTGGGCTGGGCTGTTCTCAGCACTCCCACGTAGACCCTGTTGCTTTCTCAGCCCCAAAGGCAGATGCTTTTATTGTAGTCATGCCTATGTTTGCAGACAAGGAAACTGAGGCACACAGAGATTAAAGTAGCAGGTGAGTGGCCCAGGGAAGATTCAAACAGGCATTTTGATGCCCAAAAGCTGAATTTTTAGCTCTAAAACCAATTGCCTCTTAGTCAAGAATAGAAAGACATTGTGAAAAAACTGAAGTGAATGTTTAACTTTTTTAAAACAATTTTTATTTCAAAAGAATTCAAACTTTCAAGAAAAGTACACGAATAAGAGTAATACAAAGAACACCCGTATGACTGCCTGTTTTAAATAATTTATCTTATTTGCTTGATCATATATGGCCTCTTTCTCGTTCTCTCTCTCTCTCTCTACACACACACACACACACACACACACACACGCACGCACACACGCACATACAAAATTTATTTCCTGAAACAATTGAGGGTGAATTGTGTATACCATGGGGTTTCTTTTAACCTTTAAATACAGCACTGTTTCTTTCTTTTCTTTTCTCTTCTTTTTTTTTTTTTTTTTTTGTTTTTTTTTTTTTTTTTTTTTGAGGCGGAGTTTCACTCTTGTTGCCCAGGCAGGAGTACAATGGCGCGATCTTGGCTCACCTGGAAACTCCACTCTCTGGGTTCAAGCGATTTTCCTGCCTCAGCCTCCTGAGTAGCTGGGATTACAGGCATGCACCACCATGCCCAGCTAATTTTGTATTTTTAGTAGAGACGAGGTTTCTCCATGTTGGTCATGTTGGTCTTAAACTCCCGACCTCAAGTGATCTGCCCGCCTCGGCCTCCCAAAGTGCTGGGATTACAGGCGTGAGCCACTGCACCCGGCTTTAGT